AAAAATACCCAAAGTACTAGGTAAGGTTTAGGAAGTCACTTACCTAAGTTTGGCCCGGGAAAAGTCGGCTCGGGCCCAAAATGACACGGGTGAATAGTACCGGACTGGGCGCGGGCGCGGGCAACAGGCGCGGTGGCCGGCCAACGCGGGCACAGTGGCCGGACGGTGTGCCTGGTGCGCGGGCGCGGTGGCCGATCGGGGCATGCCCGGCGCACGGCAAGTTGAACGGGCGAGGTGTCCGGGCCGAACGGGCAAGGCGCCGGCCACGGCCGGCGACGAGCCCGGGCCGGACGGGCGACGCGCCCGGTCGACGGGCACGGCGCGGCAAGCCGGGCCACGGCCCGGGACGCTCGACCGGCGAGCTCGAGCACGGCCCAGGCACGCTCGGCGGCGAGCCGCCCGGCCGGGTAGGCTGGCCGGCAAGCCGGGCTGGCTGGGACGACGGTTGGACGGCGACGGAGGCGAGCTACGGCGGCGGCGCAGCACTGGTCGGTTTGGGTCAGGCGAGCTCGCAAGCCGGCCGGCGAGCCGACCGGCCATTGGTTGGCCGGGCTAGCCGGCGAGGCGACACGACGGCGGCAACGGAGATCAGAGGGAGAGGGAAGAAAGCAGGGGCAAGTGGTGGCGAGAGGGGGCGAGCCGGGGGGGGGGGGGTCGAACCGGCGGCGGCGACAACGACACTCAGCGCGTCGGGCGGAGCTGGGGAGCCGGGCCGGACGATCGGACGGGGCTGGCCGGGACTCGCCGAACGCGGCGGCAAGCGGCGGCGAGCCGAGCTCGCGCGCTCGGGAGGGGAGGAAGGCAGCGTCGGGCGGAGCTGCCGGGCGACGCGGCGGCGAGAGGCGAGAGGAGGACGGCGGCGACGGCGACTGGTGGGGCGGCGTCGGGCGGAGGCGAAGGGCGATCGAGCAGCGGGCTGCGGAGGCGGGGAGGAGCTGCGAAGGTGGACGGGAGTCGGGGGAGAGAGGGGAGCGACTAGGCGACGGGGGGGACCGACGGGACTGCTGGCGGTTGGCGAGCGGCGGCGCAGCTCGGTCGGAGCGACGGCGGCGCGAGGCGGTCGGCGAGGTGCGGTCGGGCAGAGGAAGAAGCAGAAGCAGAAGTAAGGGTCGGGGGCAGAAGAGACGAAGAAGAAGAGGAAGGGAAGATGGAGAAAAGAAAAAGAAAAAGAAAAGAAAAGAGGAGAGAGAAGGAGGAGACGTGAGCGAAAAAGAAGGGAGAGGGGACGTCGCATGCATGGGCGGACATGCGCGGCGCGCGGAAGGAGAGAGAGAGAGAGAGAGAGAGAGAGAGAGAGAGAGAGAGAGAGAGAGAGAGAAAGCAATGATCGCGATCCAACGGTCACGATTCGAACCCGAAAACTATCCCACGGTCCACAAAAATCCTAATTATAATTTAGGAAAAAGGGCCAAAAGAAAATAACTCAAAACACACTACGAGGGAGGTCTACTAGTCCAAATTCGCACCTGGTCAAAAATCCACTTTCTCACTATTCCTGACAATCTCAACGCTGGCTACGATAAGATTGACACCGTCCAATTTATTTCGTCCCGGAACTCCAAGAAATTCGACACCAAAGTTTGGGCTCTAAATAACGGCCAAATTCGATCGAGTGCGATTCTAGCGAAATCTCAAGATTTAAAAATAATAACCGGGAGTGATCAGTTCCCGGGCGAGATTTTTACTATAAGCGCACTGACGAAATACCCGTTTTATAAATCCCAAAAATGGGCCAAAATTCGGAATGTCACAGCATATCCTCGAGAGTTTGAATCGTTCTCTCGGATTGTCCATCTGTCAGTGGATGAAAAGTGGTGCTGTACTACAGCTTTGTTCCCATGACACCTTGAAGACTCTTCTAGAACGCGGTGATGAACTTAAGATCTCGATTCGACATGATCGTTACAGGCACACTATGAAGGCGAACTATCTGCTGTACGTACAACTCCGCATACTTGTCCATGGCAAAGTCCTTTCGCATCGAAATGAAATGAGCAAACTTTGTAAGTCTATCCACTACCACCCAGATAGAGTCATTACCTCTTTGGCTCCTCGGTAAACCCATCACGAAATCTATCATGATATGCTCCCATTTCCATTCTGGTATTTCCAACGGTTGCAGCAGTCCGCCAGGCTTATAATGCTGGGCCTTCACCTGTTGACACGTTAAACATCTAGCCACATGCTTGGCAATATCTCCCTTCATGCCATTCCACCAATAATATTGGTACAGATTTTGATACATCTTCGTGCTGCCCGGATAAATACTGTAGTTACTGCGATGAGCTTCTGCTAAAATTTCCTCCTTAAGTCTTTCATCATTGGGCACGCACAATCGTCCAAGAAACTTCAAGATCCCATCTTCTGATACTTGAAAGTCAAGTTTTCTCTTAGTTGTGTCCATTTGCCAAATCTTATGCAGTTCAGGGTCCGAAGGTTGTGCTGCTTTAATCTTGGTTTGCATTTCGGGCTCAATTCTGAGAATAGCCATTAAACTCGAGAGGTGACTTATCTTGAACTTGAAATCTGAGTCCCGAATTCCTTCAAGTAAAATCCACTCTGTTGACACCTAAATTTTGTCAACCTAGTTAGTCGTTCATTATATAGAAAACTAGGGATCGATCTTGGCCCCTAAACAAAAATAATAATTAAATTGCATATAGATGTTAGGTACATTTGCATTAGTAGTTAATTAGTTGGACCGGCGGCGAATGGGCTTGAATGATGTTCTAAGCTTAATTTGAGCGCGAACTCACAAGTGCATAAAATTTGGCCAAACCCAAAAATTGCGAGCAATAAGGCTATTAATTTTGAAAATTTTAATTCCGTGGGGGTTTAATAACAAGATCTTCATATTAGGCAAAGATTTTCTTTCAGAAGCACTAGTCTTGGCCGCAATCCTCTCTCCACCGAATCTTTTATCTACATCCATGTGGACAATCTTTGCAAAAGATTTCTGGATATTTAAAAGATTGGGGAAACATGCTAGTCAGATTGGTGAAAGAAGCAAAATACAATCAAGCAAAAAGATACAAGCGTGCAGACAAGGGAGAGGGAAGGAAAGCGCAATATATTTTAAGCATCCACAAGAGGAAATAAAATATGTTTCCTTTTCTTGATAGCCCAGACCCTTTGACCTATAAAAGGGGACCCTCACAGAAGAAGGGAGAGGAGGCCACACATATTGAATACACGGCCAGAGAGATTGGGAGTGGGAGCCGAGAGAGATCGCAAAGTTCTTCAGAATTGAAGATGGTGAGTGAACGGTGGTCTTTGGGGTCTTCTTCGTGAGTGCAGTTTGATTATTAGGTCAAGCATCCACTCACAATCCCCCCATACCTGAAGCTAGTTCAACACACAAAGGAGACCAATACCCAGAAGCAAAGCGGTGATTTTTGGCTTGGCTCGTCCAGTCCTTGCTTAGCCACGCCATATCGACGAGCTCCTCAATGACTAGCAGCTTCCATCTACCACAAGGCATTTTTCCAGTACACAACCGGCAGCCATCGTCCAGCTTGAACCTGATCAACCACGATACTGCTGCTGCATCGAGAACTCCATCCACGACGCCACTAGTCGAGCCTTGCATCGACGACTTTGCTTCCCAGTCCAATCCATATGTCCTTTCTGGCGTGCTTGTCTTGTTGCAGCGTTCCTGGTGCTTTCCTTGGCGTCTCATGCACATCCGGCCGTGTTACAACTTCTTATTGGCATGATAACCTAAGTAGCACCGACACGTTTGGTAGGCGTCCATGTCGGTGTCCAACACGTGTCGCGTGTCCGACACGCTCCGACACGCTCGGACACGCGGTCAACGAGTGTCGGAGATCCGACACGCAGTCAACGCCGCCGACACGCCGCTAACACGCGAGTCGGGAATTTCGACACGCGCAGGGTTAATTTTATAAATTTCCAAAAATTTAGGGGTCAAAATGTAAATTTATAGAAAAAAATAAAAAAAAAAAGAAAAGAAAAGGGAGAAAGCTTACTTAGTTCTATCGTGCCCTAACCTTCTCAGCTCTGCATCTCCGATTCTCCATCTCTCAAATTTCACACAACTGGCGCAGGAGTGCGAGAACGATTCAGCACGAAGAACTTGATGAGCACGGAGAACGACGTCTACGCGGCACGATTTTGAGGCAAGGTCGTTCCAGCCGTCACTCGATTCAGCGACTCCTTCAAGAATTGGAAGTCAGCCGAGCGCTCAAAGTCGCCGAAGTCCTTCAAGAAGTCGGTGAGTCGGTGAGTCACCTCACTTTTGCTGGGATCTTTGGGTTTTAATGGGATTTCTTGGTGAGGAGAGGAATTTGGTGAGATTGGAGAGAGAGAGATGATGGTGCCCATTTATCTATGCTATCGTTCAGATGCAGCGCAGCAAAAAATAACACTAAAAGTAGGTTGTGGAAGCATTTATCTTAGAGACTGAGACCACTGGGAGTTTTCTCGGAGGGATTTTCGCTTTGTGAATGTTGAATTTCTTGTCGAGAGCTATATATGGCGAGAGTCGATTTGTTTGCTGTCGCCACTATCTTTGTCGAATCGCACGATCGGTTTTTGGGCTGCTATTTGGGCTTTTCAGTTTTCACTTTTCACAGCATGTTGTATGTTAATTGCTTTGCCAAGGCGGCTCGCTGTCTGACTTTAGCTTTGATATTTGTTGGTTTCGTGTTTATATTCATCTTGAGAGTTCGAAATTACTTTTAGTTTGCGATGATTCTACTTGTTTATTGACCTAATTTGAATAACATGCCTAATGTCCTGTGTTTTGACGAATGACTAGTTGTGATTTGCATTACAATATCTTTTATTTAGGAATTTGATATAGTTTTTTCAGTCTATGGGTATGCTCGAACTTCTCTATCTTGCTTTCTCTTGCCCTTTGTTGAAATGTTGGCCCTTCACTCGCAAATTTGACAGAACAATTATTATATCAATATGTATTTATTTGTAGTATATATTAAATTTATGGTTCTTGTAATTGTATTTTTTGTAGAGTAATTTCAAGCATGAATAGTAGCACTTCTAGTACACAAGGGCCTACGGCTACATTCACCAACAAAGATTCCAATAAACCACTATGGAGGTATGTTACTAAGTTAGCTACACATAGCGATGCGGGGGGAAATTTGCCTTGGAAATGCAATTATTGCAAAAAGGATTTTAGGAGTTCATACACGAGAGTGAGGGCCCATTTGTTGATGATAAGTGGAAAAGGAATTGGAAGATGTGGAAAAGTAGAAAAAAAAAGATCTTTTGGAGATGGAAAGATTAGATGAAGAGGTCAATACTAGAATAGCGAATCTTGTGCCTAAAAATGTACCTTTGCCCTCTTCGAGTTTATCAATTAGTGGTGGTGGTGGTGGTGGGATGGATTCATCCTTTGACCCCAAAAAAAGGAAGATTGGAAGTAGTAGTGGTGGTGGAGGGTCGCTTGAGAAGGCATTCAACATGACTCAACGGGAACATTTAGATTATGAAATTGCTAGGATGTTTTATTCGACGGGATTGCCGTTTAACCTAGTAAGGAACCTTTACTTTCAATCCGCTTTTACTTATGCCGCTAATCATAATATTGCCGGGTATGTACCACCGAAATATAATTTGTTAAGGACCACTTTGTTGCAAAAAGAGAAGGCAAATATTGATAGGTTGTGTGCACCTATTAGAGACATGTGGAGGGAGAAGGGTGTAAGTGTTGTGAGTGATGGATGGAGTGACTCACAAAGGAGACCACTTATTAATTTTATGGCGGTGTCAGATGGAGAACCTATGTTTATAAAATCGGTTGATTGTTCGGGAGAAAGAAAGGATATGCATTTCATTTTTAACTTGTTGAAAGAAGTAATCAATGAGATTGGCCATGAGAATGTGGTTCAAGTAATTACGGATAATGCGTCAAATTGTAAGGGTGCGGGACAACTCATTGAGCAAGAATTTCCATCCATTGTTTGGACGCCTTGTGTGGTGCACAGCCTTAATCTAGCTTTGAAGAACATTTGTGCCGCAAAGAATGTGGAGAGCAATCAAGTAATTTATGATGAATGTAGTTGGATTTCAGAGATTGTTGATGAAGTTATGAAAATCAAACATTTCATCATGAACCATTCCATGAGATTAGCAATATACAATGAGTTTGTTAACTCGGAGTTGCTTTCCGTAGCGGATACACGTTTGCTTCGATGATTGTGATGCTTAGGAGGTTTAAGTTGATAAAAAGTGGTCTTCAAAGCATGGTCATTTGTGACAAATGGAATATCTATTGAGATGATAATCAAGGGAGGGCTAAGTTTGTCAAGGAGAAGGTGTTGGATGATTTTTAGTGGGATTCAATTGATTATATACTTTCATTTATGGCTCCTATTTATGACATGCTTAGAATTTGTGACACCGACAAGCCTTGTCTTCACTTAGTTTATGACATGTGGGATTCAATGATTAAAAAAGTGAAGAAAGCTATATATGAGCATGAAGTGAAAAGGCTAGATGAGGAGTCTACATTTTATGAGGTGGTTCATACAATTCTTGTGGATCGTTGGACTAGAAACAACACTCCACTTCATTGCTTGGCACATGCCTTGAATCCTAGGTAAGTTCTACAATTGTATGAAATTATTACTTTATTAGTTGTTCTTTCTTTGACATGATAATATAATACTCTCCTCTTACTTATTATGGTTTTCTATTTTTATTTTAAATAAGGTACTATAGTGATCAATGGCTCAATGAAGATCCTTCTCGAGTTTCTCCATACAAGGATAACGAGGTCATCCAAGAGAGGAAAAATGCTTTAGGAAATACTTTCCTAACTTGGATGAGCGAACCAAGGTGAATTTGGAGTATGTAGATTTTGCATACAAAAATGGGGAGTTTAGAGAATTTGATTCCATTTAAAGTCAGTATTCTATGGATCCTAAAGCTTGGTGGGTTATTCATGGCGGAAGTGCACCTATGCTTCAAAGCATAGCCTTAAAGCTTCTTGCACAACCTTCTTCTTCATCATGTGCCGAGAGGAATTGGAGTACTTACTCCTTTATGCAGTCGGTGAGGAGAAATAAGATGACCCCAAAACGTGCAGAAGATTTGGTTTTCATTCGTAGTAATCTCCGTCTTCTATCAAGAAAAAGCTCACAATATGCACAAGGAGAGACCAAGATGTGGGATATTGGTGGAGATGCATTTGACATGTTTGAAGATGTTGGAGTGCTTGAAGTTGCGAGTCTTTCACTTGATGAGCCGGAGATGGAGTCCGATGTATTTTTAGAAGAAGTGGATGATGTAGATGAATAACTTCTTGTTATATTTGATGATGAAATGTGGATTGTTTTTTTGTTTTTGACTTCTTTTTCATTTGCCTTGTTGGTTGGGTCAGTGAAGTGTTCTGGGGAAGGTGCTGATGCAGAAAGATTGGGTTCGGTGGTATGGATGCTTTCACTTTGTAAGACTTTGCTGCTGCTTCTTAACTTTGTGAATTCATGAATCTAGGGTGGATATTTGCTCTTTGGAAATGACTTGTTACTTTCTCCTGTGGAAGCTAACTGTGCCAATGTATGGAACTTTGTCATGCGCAAATGATTCAACACTTGTTCGGCCTTCGATTCGATCATTGACCCTTGTTTCAGCCTTTGACAAGGATTGGCACAATGCCTCTTAGCCTACTACATCATGGTCTTGTCTTATTATTTATTTATTTGTGGATTTGAATCAAATTAATTTATCATGTATATATAAAAATATACTTTTAATTTATAATGTGTCCGAACGTGTCGGAATTCTGTATTTTTTGAGAAATAACGTGTCGCGCGTCGTGTCGTGTCGTGTCACGTGTCGCGTGCCGTGTGTCGGTGCTACTTAGATGATAACACCTCAAGCAACACACATATAATTCCTTCAATGGTACTTTTACACGTGTAGTGCAAGAAGTTTTTCTTGTGCAGGTTCCTTGGTGTTTGAGAACGCCTACAGTATTGTTTTGTTCTCATTGCCAATTAATCATCGTTGGTCGTATCCTCATCGTGGACACTTTGCCGAGACCATCATTTGTCAAGCATCACTGAAAGCCCCACCGCAATCCGAGCCATCCCGTTGAGTTCGAAATTGGAAACGCTATCCAGGTGGTATTGCAAATTAGGTAAGAATCTTCATTAATTAGATTTTCGTATATTTTGTTGCCTAATTTGTGAAATTACAGGATTGTTTGAATCTTCGAATATTATTCATATCCGTGAAATCCTCAAGTAGATTTAAATTATGAATTATTTCCTAATTTCATAACGTGCTATGGTCGTCAATCCGATCTTCCGCTCGAGATATGATTCGCGACCGCACGAAAAATCGTTAATATGATCTCCCGCCCGAGATATGATTCGCGATTGTGCGAAAGATTGGCCAATACAATCCTCATGTCCGAGATATGATTTGTCAATCTATTTTTTCTAAATTTAAAAGGGATATGGATAATATTTCTTGTGATTTGGTGTCGTTGGATTGCTATTTCTTTCTATCTTTGTTTGATTTGAATTGATCTTGTTTTTTCTAAAAAAAATCCAAAAAGATTAGATACTATTGAAGTAGATGATTTTAAAGATAGATTGCATGTTTAAATTAGAGAATTTAATTAATTTCGAATTTCATAGAAAATTACAAAAAATACCACTTGCATGTCATATTAGAATAGTTGCATATTAATTAATTCTCGTTATTAGAAATCTCACATCTAGGTTCATTTGCATGCCACTTTAGAGATAGTGCATTTAAATGTTGTTAGAATTAGGACATTTAAATAAATCGTATGTCGCATGTCATACTAGACGTAGAATGCATTGCATAAAGTTTAGTTTTCGTTAAATCAGAGAAAACCCCAAAAAAGATTTGAGTGAATTTGTGTGTTAATTAGAAATCATATTAGGGTTGTCAATGTGACTTTCTAACTAACATTGCAGATGCTTTCGTTGCTTTGAGGTAAGTCTCTATCTTGCAATTTATTTATTGTTTTGCATTATTGAGTGTTATATTATTGGTTGCACACCCGCATAATCACCTCGCATGTTAGTAGATAGATTTAAAATCAATCCAAGCTACCTACAAATATTTTTTTGAAATAAAAGAGAAAATGTACCGAAAGGGCATTAGAGTAATCTAGTGTAATCAAGTCTCCAAATCCATAATTTTTGGTTTGTAGGAGTAAAGTAATTCTCTTGATACTTTACTTGGGTTTCTAATCGACCCACCAAAAATAGATTAGTGACGACTCCTAATTGAAATGATTTGCATGTTAAGAACTTGAACCTCAAGTCGCGAATTGGTATGGGCTTGGGAGAGCCCGAGTTAAGTCTAGACTTAATAATCCATTAACCGAACCCCTAGGTAGTGCACCGCGAGAGGTGAGGTCGCGACACATTCTTGAACCATCATATGCGCAATCAAGGACTTTCGACTTAGTGCATCAGCTACCTTGTTAGCCTTACTAGGATGGTACAGAATATCACAGTCATAATCCTTAAGCAGCTCCATCCATCTACGCTGCCTCATGTTCAATTTCTTTTGCGAGAACAAATACTTCAAACTCTGGTGATCCGTATAAATATGAAACCTTTCCCCGCACAAATAATGCCTCCAGATCTTGAGTGCGAAAATGATCACCACTAACTCCAAGTCGTGCGTCAGATAATTCAATTCGTGTGGTCTTAATTGTCGGAACACATATGCCACAACTCTTCGATGCTGCATTAAGACACATCCCAATCCTTTGTATGACACGTCGCTATAAATCTCATAACCTCCTGAACCAGACGGTAACATTAACACAGGCGCAATAGTTAGCTTCTGCTTAAGCTCTTGAAAACTACTCTCACACTTATTCATCCATTTGAACTTTGTGTCCTTTTTCAGTAATCGCGTCAAGGGCATGGCTATAGCAAAAAAATTTTTTGCGAACCTTCTATAATAGCTAGCCAATTGCAAGAAACTCCGTACTTCAGTTACCGTCATTGGCCTAGGCCAATTCATAACCACTTCAATCTTAGCTGGATCTACTGAAATTCCTTCCCCATAAATCACATATCCAAGAAAAGCCGCTCGAGTTAACCAAAACTCGCACTTGCTAAACTTGACATACAAATTGTGGTCTCGAAGGGTTTACAACACTGCCCTCAAGTGTTGTTCGTGTTCCTCATAACTCCTCGAATATACTAGAATGTCGTCAATGAATATTATTACGAACTTGTCCAAATACTCCTTGAACACCCTGTTTATCAAGTCCATAAAAGCTGTAGGCACATTTGTTAGACCAAACGGCATCATGGTAAACTCATAGTGTCCATAGCGAGTTCGAAATACCGTCTTCGGTATATCTTCCTTTCTAATTCTCAACTGGTGATAACCCATCCTTAGGTCTATCTTTGAGAATACCGAAGCTCCTTGAAGTTGGTCAAACAAATCGTCTATCCTCGGTAATGGATACTTATTCTTAACCGTCACCTGATTGAGTTGCCGATAGTTGATGCAAAGGCGCAACGACCCGTCCTTCTTCCGTACAAATAGAACTAGCGCTCCCCAAGGTGATGCACTAGAACGAATAAATCCTTTGTCCAACAACTCCTCCATTTGAACCTTTAACTCCTTCAATTCCGACAACGCCACTCTGTAAGGTGCCTTAGAAATCGGCTCCGTACTAGAGGCTGACTCAATCACGAATTCTACTTCTCTTTCTAGGGGTAACCCAGACAATTCTTCAAGAAAAACATCCGAGAACTCTCGTACTACAGCTATGTCCTGCATTTTCGGTTCTTCTACCACAGTGTCAACTACAGTTGCCAAATTGCCTTGGCAACCCTCGTCTAATAACCGAGTAACTTCAAGTGACGAGATCAAAGGAACCGATGGTCCTCCTCAATTCCCGACAAACTCAAAGTCAATACTCCCTAAAGGCTCAAACTGAATCGTCTTACGATAATAGTTTACTGTGGATCATTGTTTGGTGAGCCAATCCATTCCAACAATCACATCGAAGTTAAATATCATCAAGATAATTAAATCTATGCTGTCCTCATGACCACCAACAGACAACTTACAATCAGCACATCCTACTGCAGACACTACGCTATCCTTTAAAGGGGTAGAAATACTATAGACTACTCCCAGTAGTGGTTTTGGATTTAACCCCACTAATTCCACAAATTGCTTAGCCACAAACGAATGCGTAGCTCTAGGGTCAAACAAAGCATAAGCAACATGGTCATGTAACGAGACTGTACCTGTGATTACGGCGGGCGAGTCATCCGCCTTCTTCCTTGTGACAGCATAGACCCTTCCTTGTACTTGGGGTCGGTTCAACTGATTCGGCGGGGCGTTCCTCGTAGGTTGTCTTACCTACTGCATTGGTCTTGGCGCTCCCGCGGTTGGGCGCGGACAATCCCTCATGTGGTGGCTGTGCTGGCCACATCCAAAGCAAGCTCCCGTCTTCATGGGGCACGGGGTTGATCCATGGTTCCTACGACAAAAGTGGCAAACGCCATTTGGATTGAATGCCGGTTTCTTCACGCCACCCTTCTTATTAGGAGGGACGGGGAACCTATTCCCTGTCATCAGTTTCTTCCCAAATCGACGATTATCCTTATTAGGCACAAACCGCCATCCAGACACGGCTGTCTTCTCCGCCAAGTTCCTCTCAATCAACTATGCCCTCTTAGCCTCATACTGGTCTACCGACAATTGGTTCTGCCAGAGATGCTGAAACTCGTTCATCTTCTATTCCCTGGCGCAGTATGAGAAATACTTGTTATAAAAAGCTTCCACGAAAGTACCCCACACCTGGGCCGTACCTTCGGGAAATACCCTGCTCTGGGTAGCTTCCCATCAAGTACTGGCATTACCTTACAACTGGTAGACTGCCAGCGTCATCTTATC